AAATTAATTTTGCACATTAAAGAGAGCACGCCACGTACTATCTAGTGGCTTTCCCTCCTGATCTATAGTATTGTGGTTCTCGATTTCAATTGACTCTCTCATTTTCCGAGAGAACTTATGACTATCAATCGCCAAAATGGTTGCTTCGTCCCATTTTATACGATGGTCGTAAGTCCAAGTATGTTTAGCCACAGCAGATTTATCTTGCTCGGTTTTCTCGCAATTCGTCTTGTGTTCCTTAAGACGTACTGAGAGATTTCGACCAGTTTCACCAATGTAAACCAGACCTCATTCACAAGGAGTGCGGTACACACCAGGTTTCTGAGATTCATTTACGTTGTCCTTATGTGTGCAAAGAGCTCGAAACAATTTGTTTTCGCTGGAATGGTATACCTTTATACCTGCTTAATTCCTCAAAATTCTTTCGATTTTGTGTGAAGCCGGACCAATGTATGGTAGACAAACAGACGACTGATATTCAATCTTCTGCTGTATACTAGAACATTTCTTAAATGTTCTAATTCATCGTCAATGTTACTTACCTCACAAATTGTTTTCGCTCGGTTGATGAGTGTCTTGCACACAGAGTTTTTAATACTAGGATGATGAAATGAATTATAATGCAGATACCTATCTGTATGTGTTGGTTTCCTATAAACCTTATGTCCTAGCGACCCATAATCATGTATAGTGAAAAGAACATCTAAGAACGGTATAGTTTTGTCATCCTTCTGTACTTCAAAAGTAAACTTGATCGATGGATGCAACAAGAACTTAATATTCGAAGTGTCTATTTAGTAAACTGTCACTTGTCAATCCATATCCGCCATTTTCAAAACTTTATTGCAATCATGTGAAGCAAAAGTTCTGTCACTTGTTGTTTACACTTGCCAACGTTAACAGTTGAGTAACATACCACACTATTCGAGGAACATGCATTACTATAGCAAAGCGTCAATCATATATCGAAGACCACTGAATAGTAGAGAATGTTTTGAAGGTCATGAGTGAAGTATATAATTCACTCCAATCCTGTGCACAGTCAATGATATAACACACTGTTCGGTCTGACACAGCATATCCACACAAAAACAATTTGTGTTGTGGGAGAATATTGGTTTAAGTAGAAGGTATCACAAGTTTGGTTTTGTACATTGCGTGCCATTGATCTGATCCATCCATATAATATAGGATTATTGTAGCTGTTAAGTTATTATCCATACTAATGAATTTAGGTAAGATTGTCTTGCAAGTGGGTTGTTCTGACAAAATTATCTAGCCAATATCCAGTAAAATTTATTCATCATTCTTGTATTAATCTCTAAACAAAAACATTTATGTTAGAAAGCAAAATGACAATGTAATGAGGCCCAGGAGGGTGGGGATTCTTTTATTAGCATTTGAAAATGTTTGTAAAAATTTTGTTTAATTATAAACTCTATTAAATGTGTAAAACCAAAATGTATAAGTATTGTAAACTGATAACATCTTTAACCTCCAACAGAAGTACAGGATCAAGATTTAATTCAATATCTCCTGAGACCATAGTTTCCTTTGATATTGTTCATTGGCAATATTGCCTGCTATGTTTTGACTGTTTAAAATATTACAGAAGTCACAGAAGGATTGTTTTACTGTATAAATATTTTTGTGGACTATGTTGACAGTCACAAATGGCTTAAAATATTGTCGAAAATATATATCCAATATTTACAGTGACACAGTGTAATATGCAAAATTATCATAGACGGATTTTCATATTTTTTACTGGGGTGGTGCCAGAAATTTTAGGGGGGTGAGCCGTGAGCAGGTGACTCAAGCAACACAAAGCGTCACCACTGAAATCCCAGTAAGGTCTATATTCTAGGGGTGGAGCACTAGAGCCGCGAGGGGGAGTCTACAGAGCAGAAAACAAAGTATCCCTGGAAAAATTTGAAAAAAATCATGATTTCTAGCTTCGAAAAAAAGTTTTTTGAAGTTGTCATATCAATGGATTTGGCATGTCCGATTGTCTGTTGAGACTTGAGAGAGTTAAAGTTAAATGAACCTGTAAAAGTGTAAACCCAATAGGCCAATACACAATATGCTTTTACTTTTATAAAGTCATTGACATTGTGTCGTTTGAATCCGAGTATACAATTTATGATGCAAATCCGATGTAAATAATATTTGGGGCGTAAAGATTTTAATCTAGGCAAGTCTATTTCCTTTTATGCACCTGTATTGTACTATATGCAGCAGCTTGGCCAGGGCCGTAGCTAGCATATATAGTTGCGAGGGCGTAGGCCAAAAATTTCCGAATGACGAAAAAAATTTCCGAATATTCCATGGCATACGAAGCCACGAAGGTGTTTGCTATCCGGAAAATTAAGATGCAATTTACAAACAAAAATACACATAGTTTACGCAAAGACGTATTACAGAAGCATGCAGTGCATAGGAAGCTCTTTTTTATTGGGGGCTGGGAGGGCCGGAGGCCCGAGAAAATTTTTTTAATTTAGACTCTCTGAAATGCCATTTCCTGGACTTTGGGGAAGTTTTGACAGAATTCTGATGGTCAGAAAACAGAGTTTTATATTTGTGATGTTACTCTGAGTATGCATCCACAGCGGGCAAGCTGAAAAGTTTGCTTGGCCACGGTGGGAGTCAAACCCGCGACCTTTGGGATACTATTTCAATGCTCTGCCAACTGAGCTACGTGCATGTCAAGTCGGTTCGAGTTGTTAATAGAGTTTTAGTATGTGGAAATTTCCTTTTTGCTTACAATTCAGTAGAACTAAATGGGCGAAGGCGTATTTAATTAACTATATATTGCAGGAAAGAGTATGGGTAATATGATTCTTTGCCGTTTGTCATGGATAATGTAGCCGCTTAAAATTAACTTCCCCTTATGAGTAAAATTTTGATCTAGACAAGCCTGGAGAAAAATTTCATCACAGCTTGAAAGAGCATCACAAAATTAGTAACATTCCGAAGTTTCGTTGCGAAATGTTGTAAAATGCGGATAATATAGCCTTGCGAAGTTTGATCATCTGATTATCAATTTCCCGTTTGTAATGCAAAATAAATGACTGAAAAACGGCAAACTTCGCAAGGTTATATTATCCGCGCATTTTACAACATTTCACAACGAAACTTCGGAATATTACTAATTTTGTGATGCTCTTTCAAGCTGCATGTGATGAAATTTTTGTCCAGACTTGTCTAGATCAAAATTTCACTCAGAAAGGGAAAGGTCTATTGTAGAGGTGTGCAAATCCGATCCGAAACCGATCCGATCGGATTCGTTCGGACTTCGGAACCAAAATATTCATTTCCGATCGGATTGATATAAAGTTGTTTTGTAGTCGGATCGGACTTCGATATCCGAAATAAAATGAATTAATTATCCAGCATTATCGCAAGCATTAATTATCCATGCATTTATCAAAGTATCATCGCGGTTGTCGCTGCATTATTCGTTTGATCAAGTTCAATTGAACGTCACTTTGTAAGCTTCTTGACATGTATTCCTTGCTTTTATATTTATTTGGTTAAATATTTCAACTTGAATGAGAAATTTATTTTATTTAAGAATTCTTCGGATCGGATTGGAATTCTTTTTCAAAACTCGGATTGGAACGGATTGAACAATTTCGGATCGGATTTTAAACATTAGGCAATTGTCGGATTATAAACATCCGATCCGATGCACACCTCTAGTCTATTGTCCGGTATTTTAAAGGTATATTATTTAAATGATAAAGGTGTGCATGATTTTGAAAAAAGAATGATTATCAGCAAATTATAGTAAGGCCTGCTGCCCACAGTCCCTCTCTCCCCCCGACTGCTACGGCCCTGAGAAGTAATAAACCGAAAAACATTTACCGATTTACGATTTGTTTTACGTTATCCATGTAATTCCGTGATTTCGTAAATCAGTTTATACCAATGGTTTATACTGACAATACCATTTAATAATATTTTCTCTGTTTAAACAACTAAAATTTTGTTATACTATTATTGCCGTAATTTTCCGAATGGCCAACCCGATTTTCCGAATATGTTAATTCTACAAAAGTTGGGTTAACCCCCCCCCCCCCATACCCCCTCGCTACGGCCCTGAGCTTGGCTAATCATGCATGATCATATCGTATTCTCAGGCAAAAAAGACCTGCAAAGACGATACAGCAGCCTAGACCTAGGCCTTCTATTTTTATTATTTTTTAATATTCAGCGCTTTTTCACATGAAATCTCGCATGCAAATAACTTTCTTTTTTATTTAAAAAATTTAATATAATAAAAAAGGGTAATCAATAAAGATACACTGAAATTTAAAAATTAAACGAGACTTACCTGTAAAAAGTTGAAGTTTGATTGTATTTCTATGAGTTATCAGTAAGGAACTATTGGGAGTCACATGAGATATGCATGCTCAGATCGAGTATTCAGCCAGCTTTGAAGCAGTTATGATTGCACCCAACAAGGGTGGGCTTGCCATCTCTAGTTTGGCCACATAGTGTGTTGGGTGGGTGACTCCCTAGTTCCTTACTGATAACTCATAGAATTACAATCAAACTTCAACTTACAGGTAAGTCTCGTTTAATTTTTAAATTCTATTTCGTCATCAGTTACGTCACTAGGGAGTCACATGAGACTTCAAAGCCGTGCAATCACTGAAAATTCTGGAGCAAAGATTTATTGTATAACAGTACAAAACCAATGTGTACTTAGTAACAACTAGAAATTTGTGTGGTATATCCCACAGTCTAACAGTATGTTAGTTTAAACATTAACATAAACAGAGTTTAATAATGTTTCACCAAAATTGGTGTCCTGGTCAATGATGGGCTTTTTGTAGAACTTTGCAAAGGTATTTCCACTTGACCAACCAGCACTAGCCATGATAATGTCTATAGCCTATAGGTATCTGATTTAAGTTTGCCGCTGATGTGGCGGCAGCTCTAGTGCTGTGAGCTTTCAATATTGAAATGTCAATTTTTGCCTGTTGTAAGAGTTTTTATCCACCTCGATATTGTATTTGTTGAGACCGCTTTGTGGGGCTTTTGGTGAGCCACAAGGAGCTGTTTTGTGTCTTCCCTGATTCCCTTTGTGCGTTGTATATATTCCAACAGGTGATGTGGGACACATAATTGTTTGTCCAGAGGAAAAGCCTTTTAAAGCACAGTTTTAGTGGTTTGGAACCAGGTTTGGTGGTTTTCAGTAGTTTGTTAATGGGAAAAACACACTCATCATCACCAAGTTTCATGCTGTCAATACTTAATGATTGCAGAGTCTGGCATCGCTGCCCAGACAAAAGTGCCATTAGCATAACACGCTTTAGAGTTAAGTCTTTCAGTGACAGTTCTTTGGCAATTTTAGACTGTTTAAGGTGGTTCAAGACAATGCTCATGTCCCATATATTTTGTTGGGTTGGTTGGGGAGGAATAATAGATCCTTGCTTTTTGGTAAGACAATTGGCTGTTGGACAATCATGTTCATTGCTTTCGGCCACCATATCTGTGTTGGCCAATATGGGATCACTAGGATCCCTGAGGCTTGATCTTCTTGGACTTTCTGTAGCACTTGCATTATCACACTAAATGGTGGGAAAGCATAGAGAGCAAATTGAGTCCATGTCATGTGAAAGGCATTAATGGCAATTGCTTCAGGGTCTGGTCTAAATGCTACGATGGTTGAATCTGGAAACAAATATATAGATCAATGTCAGGGGTAAACCTGAGCATGTTACATGCCAAGGTAAGTATGTCTTTGTTAACTAAGACACCATTCAGTCCCCCAATTGAAAGACCGAGGCTGAAAGTCTGCTTGACAGTTTTTAACCCCTGGTATGTGTGCCATTGTTATCCATATTTTCTGGCTTTCACACCACTGCCAAATTTGTTTTACCAGGTGATTTAATCTAGAATTACATAGGCTGGTTCCCATTTCTTTAATGATGCTTTCAGCAGTGGTATTATCCACCATAATCATTGCATGGTTGCCACTTAGAATATGTTGAAAGGATTTAAGTGACAGAAAGACTGCTAGTGTTTCTAAGTAATTGATGTGTTCATAAGACTCAGTTTGGCCCCAGAGTCCACCAGTTGTTTTGTCACCCAGTGCACATCCCCATCTCAGTTTGAAGCATCTGATCTGTCTGTATGGTTATGTTAGGTTTCCCCCTATGTACTGGGTTGAATGCAGTGTCAATGTTATTTATCCACCACACAAGTTCTTCCTTGGCTTCAGCCGAGAGTGCACAGTGGCATCAAACTTTCCTTTGTTATGTTTAAGTGCTGCATTATGTCAGCTTCAGAAAGTCTGTAATGTAGTGGTCCCATTGCAACACCTGGGAAGTTTGAGATGAGCAAGCCTATTACCCTAGCAACCTCACGGATAGTAGGGTATTCTTTCGTAAGGAGTTCCTTACATGTTTATATGAGATTCAACTTCTTTCCAGGTGTTATAGTCACCTGCATAGTTTTGGAGTTCAGTGTGAATCCAAGATAGTCTAATTCATGAGTGGGGATGAAAACAGATTTGTCAGGGCACAGTTGGTCAGAGTGAGCTATAACCCCCAACTTGTCTATGAGCTGTGTTGTGTCAATCACATTAGCTGCACAGTCATCATAGGTTTGACCTGTTCGTAATGAGTCATCAATGTAAAGGGAGGATTGGTGACCCAATTTCCTGAGGTAACAAAGTACTGGCTTCATTAGTTTTGTGAACTTGCGTGGGCAACAAGTTACTAGGCCATTGGTGAAGCAAGTAAACTGGTACAGTGACCCATACCACTCAAATTTTAGATATTTGTGGTGGAAGCTCGCTATTGGGACACAGTATAGTACGCATCTTTCAGATCGATGATGCCATAAAACAGTTTGGTGTCAGCAGTGTAATGGCTGACTGAATTGACTCCATTTTGAAATGGTGGTATTGAACATGAGCATTTGGTCGCTTGAGATTGAGGATCATTCTGTATGATCCATCTTTTTTTCTCCTTTAGAAATATGGGGGAGATATACTCTCCCGGCTCATGTTGTGATTTTTCTATTATACCCTTTGTCATTGATAAGGTTCGGTCGAGAATTCAATGTGAAGTCCACGAACCTAGAACCTCTGGGTTAGAGGTAATCTCATGCCATTTGGCAATGTGTTTTGATATTTGACAATGTGTTTTGGTAATGGTAATCTCATGCCATTTGGCAATGTGTTTTGATATTTCATATTTGTATAAATGTTTAAGGTGAGGTTACTCACCTGTAAAGAACTGAGAGGATTGATATTGCAACTGGGATTGCGTATTGTCGTAATCTGATCGTGGTCGCCATTGTTGTGTATTTTTGTATTGTTTTCTCGCATCACTGATTGTGTTGCTAACTTTATTTGTAGCTCGTATATTTGTTAGTTGACCCTGTAGGTCATCCCCAAATAGGAGGGATGTAACTGGGACATGCGAGGCGCAAAGGGCCGTGTATTCTTTGTTAAGATGCGGTTTTAGCGTTTCCCGCCTTCGTTGTGACATTTCACACGACGCGTGTCCCAGCAGAGCAAGGGCGTCTGTGTTGAGTGTGATAAGCTCTCGGTACTCGGGCTTCGAGTCTTTTTGATAAAGTGACAGAAGTTTATCGGTTGATTTTGCCAGGACAACTCCTGCTTTGGCCAGATCAGATTGGTTTGTGCTGGCGCGAAGGTCCAACTGTTTTGCAGTGTGGTCTATTCTCGCCCAGATTTCTGGGTTAATGCGTGGCGCCACAAGTCTGTCACAGTTGTCTGGGCTGGGGTATTGATCCCGCTTTTCTTTCAGCTTTTGATCGCTCAGTTTTTCAGACCAACGCTTATTGATTATGGCCGGGCCAATATCGTCCTCCTGAGAGAAACCATTTTCAATTTCTGACAGCAATGAGTCATTGCAATTGTCAGTGACAGTGTCTTGCTCGAGTCGAGCGTTTATGGTTTGAGAGTTTTCTGCCGAGTCGGCATTTGATGGGCCACAAAGTGCCCGCGTATCTTCGTCGCTGCTCTGGTTTTCTTCTACTTCCTCAAGTCCAGATGTCTCTGTAGCCAGGCGAGGTTTCTTTCGTTTCGCGGGAGGTGTCTTGTCTTCGTGGAGACGTTTCAGCGACTTTTCCACGATTGAGCCAACCATTGTATGTAAGGACTGGTTTAACTGCCGTAGAAAACTGCTTGATTTCGCCGATAAGTCGTCATTCTCGTTGGATCCGTCGATGAAAGAGGTCGTCTTCCTCACTTTGACTGGGCGATACTTCGGTAGTCGGTTTTTTCTGAATCGATATTCTCCATGAATAAAACTTGCAACTGAATACTTTGAACGACACGTGCAAAAGTGAATACTCGATCTGCGCATGCATATCTCATGTGACTCCCCAGTGACGTAACTGATGACGAAATAGAATTATATGTTGTCTTGTTTCATTATACGTTTTATAGCAATAATTCATTTTAAAGCAATTATAGCCATTATAAAGCAAACAATATATCAGTACTTAAAACAAACTTACCTTCGTTAGCGTCGGCGCCTTTGCTTCCTTCTTTTAGCCGATTCTTTTGCCTTTTTTTCTCAAAGAGCTTTTGAAATATATTTGCAAGAAATCATCAAATCAACTAATCAAGAAATGTTTGCTATTTCGCTGTCGTCATGCGGTCGTTATCATGCAAATTTTAAATTGGACCAATCAGTGTTGGCTATTCATGACAATCCGCTATATTATGAGATCAGCGAAGATGACCACCCACCGAACCACGCACGGTAACCCACACCCGCGATCATTGATAAAATTAAGACTTCGCTAATGCTTTCCTTTCCCCGGGGGTAAATGGCCAGGCGGAATTAATACCCTCGCACGGCGCCGTTGGCTCGGAGATTATATTTTATAACTATTTCGGCCCTTTTTAAAACAATTGCAAGATGAAACGGGCACCTAACACTAGCCCTACCCCCAACCCTAACCACTAACTCCTAACCACTAACTTTTTAAACTTTTTAAATTTTTTTAACTTTTTAAACTTTTTTAAAAATCTAACTGTTTAAACTTTTTTTTCTTTTTAAAACTATTTTAAAACTTTTTAAAACTTTTTTAAAAACTATTTTTTTGGGAATCTTGAAAATCTCCACACCCCGCGCGACCAGCCTCCCTTTTAGTGCCATTACATTTATAGCAAGAAGTCTTGTCTAGAATGCTTGTGGTTTTATGATTAACTCTATTGATAAATTCAAAATGTGCCGAAAATGTATCATTATAAATTCGGACGTGTTTAAGAATTTAGTACTGAAAATGAGCCTGGTGTACACATGTACAAGTTCCATGATATCCCACACAAACATAAACTCGTGAATATGTATAGGTTATTTTGAGGCAACGAGGGGATATGTGATTTATTCACCGAGGCGCGTAGTGCCGAGGTGAATAAACATATATCCCCGAGGTGCCTCAAAATAACGTACTTATTTTTCACATTGCGAGGTTGCGTTCATGAGACAGAATAGAAATAATTCTTAATGCCATATTGCCTTCGTTATGTTGCTTTTTTCTCTTTTTTTGTGCTGCAAAGACATTGCAGGTGAATATTAGAGGGGATTATTAATTGCAGGTGAATATTAGAGGGGATTATTAAACGGAAATTGATTAGAGTGAATATTGAATATATTCCCCGACAAGAACAAAGGAAACCGAGCAGGGTGAAAAATAAGTATAGGTTATTTTGAGGCAACGAGGGGATATGTGATTTATTCACCGAGGCGCGTAGCGCCGAGGTGAATAAACACATATCCCCGAGGTGCCTCAAAATAACGTACTTATTTTTCACACTGCGAGGTCGCGTTAACGAGTCAGAAAAGAAATAATTCTTAATGCCATATTGCCTTCGCGATGTTGTTTTTTCTCATTTTTTGTGCTGCAAAGACATTGCAGGTGAATATTAGAGGGGATTATTAATTGCAGGTGAATATTAGAGGGGATTATTAAACGGAAATTGATTAGAGTGGAATATTGAATATATTCCCCGACAAGAACAAAGGAAACCGAGCAGGGTGAAAAATAAGGTAGTATACACTACCGTGGGGGTCTGATTAGCCAGGGGCGATTATTAGGTCATTATTTTCCTCTCAAACTTCACAGATTATAGCTAGTTTACAAATTATTGGGGGGGGGGGCTGAAGCCCCAGCCCCCCAGTCGCTAAGGCCCTACTATACGTAAGAGTTATAAACCGAGTAGGAGGTTTATAACTGATATATTGACCCGAGGACGCGTAGCGTCCGAGGGGCAATATATCAGTTATAAACCGACTTATATCACACTTGCGGAGGTTTTCCAACATATTTTGTCATTTTCAAAAATTTTTAATGAAAAATTCTCGCGTTTTGTCTACAAGTTTAATCCAATCATTTATTCAAGGTCTATAAGCTAGTTATAAACCTCGGACGAACAAAGAAAACCGACGCAAGTGTGATATAATGACAATTATATACTTTTGGAGTAATCTTGGAAACAGCATAGTTCAAAATCTTCAACTTCATAAAACCGAATATATATTAACATCTATATTTACTTTATATAGCGTTCAATGGAAATCAGGCAAAGGAGCCCAAGCTGACCTGACATACACCCCTGACAGCTATATATTGCTCTTACGTTCTGAAAGCAAATAAAGTTCCAAATGTTCAATTAAATACATAAAACTGCATGGCATCTACTTTAATTAGTTGTCGTCGGTACAACATGCTTTCTACCTCTACAAGGAAAACAAGCAAAGATCCCACGCAAAGCTGATATATACTCCTTGCGACATCTTGAACTAAATACTCCATACAAAATCGGATTGACTACACAATTGACTAAAGTCATCATAATAAAAATATGGTATGAAGTCGAATCATGATGGACCTCATTTAGATCTAGCGAGTAACTGATTTGAGTTGGAAGCCAGCCGAAGATCAGGATTAATGATGCCACAAGCGCAATCACTGTTAGCCTTTTCTTCAACGCGATCCCAGCTGCTCCACGCAAGAACAATGGCATTCGATTGATCTTGTAAAAAATATGCGTATACAACGCTGTTATGAAGGAAAAGGGCAATAGACACGTGAAGAAAATTTGTAAGAAAGGCAAAATTGTCTCTCCAATTCTCAAATTAAGAAACCCACATGTTTTTTTCTCCGAATCTGCTTCCGTGGTCAGAAATACAGGTGTGTTCAAAATGAATCCCCAAATCCATACCAACACAACAGCAACTAGAGCTTGCTTCTTTTGAAAACGACGATAAGCTTGAGGTCTAACGACCGCCATCCATCTTTCAATGGTAAGCACAAGACATGTATATACTGAGACATATCCCAAAGAGAACATAATGTATCCTCCCCATAGAAAATTACAATATAAATAAGCTTCAGTTTCGCCTTGAGGAATCGGAGGTACATATAGGAATCGACTGAATACGAGAAAAACCGCAGCTAGTGCATCTGATACAGCCAAATTTAGGATAAAAATATCAAAAGGCCTTTCAAAATAAGACTTTCGTTTCTTCATGATAACCCAAATGACTAAAGAATTCCCCAAAAACGCTGTCAGAGAAATCGTGGAAAACAAAAGACGAGCTATCCAACTTTCAATGAACGAAGCCATTCTTATTAATTCATTTTGCTTTTATATAACTTCATCTAGATTGTATGGCTCTATCATTATTATCTGGCAAAATTGGGCAGCTCAAATCCTATTTATACTAATTGTGCAGTAGTAAACATACTAAACAAATATATTGCAAGAAATTTGAGGAACATCTGCACTTACATTGACAAACTATACATCATGCATGATTTAGGTTGTCGTATGATTGGATAGTAATATAACTACATGGCATCCGTTAAATTTTAATACTAAAATATGTACTTTAGCAATGGAAATGGGCGATAGACGATTTTCATCGCTTAGCAACAAGTTTGAATTTTGCAGCTGGGGGCAAAAAATAGAACATATTGACAAAAACAATAAAATCAACGAAAAATCTGGACCAAATTTCGATGATATCAATAAAAACTTTATTTTAAATTAGTTGAGGAAATCCACTTTACAAATGAGTGGTTTACAGAGATGTCCTCAATAAATATAATCCCCGAGCCAACGACGCGTAAGCGATAGCCCGGGGCGACTGTATCTAATTCCGATCAGCTATTCCGGCTTGACTCCTGTGAAAAAGTGAGCTAGCGGTTGAATAGTCCATCAATGATTGTGGGCGGGTGGCTTTGTTTCATGTGTGCCATGTGTTGCGTGAGTGGACATCCCTCTTACTAATTTCAAACGTATTGTGAATGTCAGGAGGGGGATTTGAAATTTGAAAAAACATCAATCAGAAACCCGAAAAATCGTTCAATGAGATAAGCGGTCAATTGGCAGTTGATTTGTCTTTTGCTTCACAACAGCAGATCAGGGGCGGTAGATTGCAGAAAATCGTAAGACCTAAAGTTTGTTTCATTCAAATCATTTATGTGTTGTTTGCTATAAAAACTGATGTCGCGTATAATGAAAAAAGACAGTGTATTCAGTGTATTTTCATGATTACCTTTTCTTATTATTTTAGATTATTAAAAGGGGTGAGCAAATTAAGTTAATTTCATGAGAGAATTGCATAATTGGAAATCATCTTATTCCAATTTCAAAGTTTTATATCGATGAAAGGCATTTTATTAATTAGTCTTATGTACTATTTAAAACATGAGCAGCCGTGTTTTATCAGATATAAAGATACGAGGCGAAGCTGGGTCTGCCGGGTATCTTTAATTAGGTCTGAATGTCTGATAAAACACGCACTGTGAATATTTTAAATTGCTTCAAAAACGATCGATCTAGTAAGTTCGATTCATTTGCGAAGTAATTTTCAAAAAACACGTTGTGTAAGTCGAGGAAATCAAAGTTCAAGTTTATGTAAATCAAAGGAAATCTCTATCACATATAAAGATACGACACGCTTATGATTTTTCTTTGTGTTTTCCTCTGTCAATGAATATAATAAAATGCGTTTTTGAAGAAATTTAAATATTCCTGAAGCTTATAGCTGCATCAGAGCTTATACATGTTGTTGAATATATAGTTTGGTAATTAAAAGTGACATATTTTTCAATTTTAAAAATATAAAAACAATAAAATGATCATGTTACCATGACTACAACTTCAAACGCATCTTCTTCGGAAAATAGGCTCAATATAGTTGATACATATGCTAGCAAGTCGAGGGGTTTCGATTCGGCATGCATGTATTTCTAGTTTCTAGTTTATGGCAAGCATTGTTTTGGTGAATCTTGCAATTTGATTCAATTGAATGGCTGTTGATGCGCAGGGTTTTCCTGCATTGCCTTTCGGTATTGTCCTCGGACAATAGTGAATTATAATTGCCCTATACGAGACTGCGACGAGAGCAGAATTTTTAGAGAAAAAAAAACAATATGGAAAAGCGATAATTGCTAAAGAACTGGCACATAAAGTGTTGTTGGCATATATATATAAGCCGAAAATAAAAGGTAAATTTTACAATGTTTTGAACCATTAAAGCAGTCACGAATATTTGTGTTTCTAACATATTCCATTTGCAGATGACCAGAGCGAATTTAGAACTATTAGTTCTAAATTCGCCCTGGTCATGTCTATACCATCTAAATTAAAAAGCACAACTTATAATATAGCAACCACAGATTTATATATTGTTTTCAAAAATTTCATACATTAAAACAGAAAACATCAATATGAAATTACCAAAAAAACTGCATGTAGTAATTCAACTACCTGAAAGAAAAGTAAACCTTCCCTTCGGCCCTTCGTGTTGTCACTTCCTACGCTGACGCAGACGGTTCGAGTGAATGTGAAATGAACTACAGTGTACCAACAACTTGTCGGTGCTGTTTTAATTGTTTTCAGACAAATATCACAACATTTTCTCAGTGAAATATTACTCTGTTCTATAAAAGGTGCTGTAGAGTGGTTTTACCAACCAAGCTGGACTAGAGAAAAATTTGTAGAATATTCAGCTTTTAGTTTATGCGTGCAGGGGATGATGGGTAGTAAGGTATCACATCGGCTGATTATGCTGAAAAAAATAAAAATGGTGGCCGTGTAAACACGGACTGATAGCTTATACTTGTAAATATTGCGGTTGTTTCGGTAGTTTTTATTGCAATTTTTCAGCATAATCGGCAATATGATACCTTACTTCCAATCATCCCGTGCGGGCATAAACTAAAAGCTGGAATTGCCTATTGAAATTATGGAGATTGATATTTCAAAATGTTTTAGATTTTTGTATTTTGCCCTGGCATCGTGGCCATGTTTTTAATTTTTGACAAACCGAACGTCATAGATCAATGCCATAAAATAAAAAAACTTACTACCTCGACCTTTCGGCCGGGCTGTATGGAAAAATATCAAACCTCTATCGCTCGGTCAATGCATGAGCAAAAACGAGGTTTGTATTTTCACGCACAGCCCTCACTCTCGGTCAGTGAATACTATAAATAAACATGACAAGGCAGATCTAAAATGCTAATGGTCAGCTTTTTCTACAGTAAGAGTTTTTTACATGAATTAAGTAATTGATGGTCTAATCTGTTCCAGGCATCTGATGAAATAGTGGTATATGCAGTTTCCCCCAAACCCTATAATGTTATGTAGGCATGTTGCAGGAATTAGATTTGCAGTACGGTGTATAAAAGTAGCCCGCTGTCTTAATCCATTATAACATTGTTCCCACATGACAATGTCATTAATTAAAAGAAGCAAATTATACATCGATTGCGACGCCGTGGGGCTGACGCAGTATTACGTTTCACCAAAACAGTAAATCAAGGCTGCATTGACACATGCAGCCTTGATTTACTGTTTTGGTGAAACGTAATACTGCGCGTAAAAAGAGTATGTTTAATTAAATCAAATTTGAAATGATATAATTGAAATTCGAATGACAAGATCTCATTGAGGACTAATGCAATAGAATATTCAAGACTCCGTCAAATATCATATGCAAGTTCCTTACATGATTGGCAAGGTGCATTGAATGTGAAATTTTTGGCTCGGTATTGAAAGTCATAAAGACGAGAAGTCAACTATATACTAGGAAAGTACTGTATTTATTCTAATAAACGCCTGCTGTCTTACAAACGCCCCCACTATCTTATAAGCGCCCCACTCCAATAAACGCCCCACTCCAATAAACGTCCCCTCAATTTACAGACGTTTGTAAGAAACGCATCTCTCTAATTAACGCATCTCTCTAATTAACGCTTCTCCCTAATAAACGCCCCCGTTTAACTTTCATATTGGCTATTTTTATATTTAATAACTCAATACCGATTTTGCCGCACTTTGTGAATTTGTATGAACTGTGTCCAGATTTTGTATTCGTAAGGTTACAATATGATTTTTTTTAAATAAACGCCTATTTCTAATACACGCCTCTTTCTTATAAACGCTCCCCTTCCAAACTCGTTTTTTATTAGAATAAATACGGTAATATGAAGTTTTGCTGAATTATAAACTGTTACAAATTATATATGCATCGATAATATTCATTCAGTGTGAAATATTCTGCTGCATGCCCAGAAGGGAGACTGGAAAATATACTTTTGTTTGCTAAGAAGTATATTTTCCTCTATCCCGTATGGACAGCAATATCTTCCTTTGCCAAGCCGATGCTAACCTACGAAACGGTAATATTTACCGTCTAAAGCATGTTCGCTTGTCTGCATGTTTCCAGCATGTACATGTCGTTGTCCGCAAGGTTTACTGGGACAGTTTTTGATTGGTGAAATATATCATTCTTTTTTCCGATTGGTTGCTGTCATACAAATAACATGTGATTGGTTATTAGTTATGATAATTCATTGGAATAATTATTTATCATGATTGATACATGTCATATTAAAACAACAATGGCGGCCTTTAGAGAAGACATATATGGAATTTCGCATTTTAATTTGCTCGTAATTAATAGGCGAGCGTTTGTGACGCAGCCTAAACCGATGTTAGATCTCTACGGTTTTTAAATTACATATATCTGTTATTGCAAATTATGTTATTCAGTGCAGATAATCCTTTGACAGTTCTACAGTAAAAAATATTTCTATTGATGCATGTAATTTGAAATGTTGGTACAATTAAAGTAGCACACTATAACATAAAGTTGCCACAAATTTTGCGGAATTTTCAGTTTAGTGGAGATTTTAGAACTATATATGCAGTTCTTAATTTTTACCATTGCAACTTGAATAAGCCAAATGCTTAAACCTAACTATATCATCGTTTCATATTGGTAACTTTTATATGGCCATACAGCAGCCTGAGCACAGTTCCTTGCGATAGTAATTTCTAATACTAGAAGTTGCATTCACTTCGTAAGAGAATCTACTGCTTTGTTCTGAATAACTATATTATGCTGCCCTAAATTTTGAAAAGTGAGTTTTTCATACTTTTTAATTTAGTTTTGATCATGTACACTTCCATTCTATATTATGTTATTCTGAAAATCAACACCAGCGTACGGCTGTACGGATTTTCACTTCTATAATCACTACAATAATTTATTATATAGAACAAATCTATCTTATAATTACGGTGGCCCACAAGTGCAACGTCAATCGTCATTAATAAATCAGATATCAACTTAAATTTCATAACTTCAAATTCAAATTCCTTACCCCAAATTCAAATTCCTTACTTCAAATTCAAATTCCTCACTCCAAATTCAAATTTCTCACTCCAAATTCAAATTCCTCACTCCAAAAACAGAGTAGAGACATACAGAGCTGTAACTGACCGTCGTAAACACTGCGGAAGCTTACGTTTTCATGTACCCACTTTTTTTCAGGCGACCGGGAAAAAAAATGATCAACTGCGCGTGCTCGGCAAGTTTAAAGTGAGTCGTCATCAGGTCGTCATCCAATCAGATACATGCATTTAGTAACTTGCCGAGCATGCGCACAAAAATAGTGGGTACATTAGTTACAACTCTGTATGTCTCTCCTCTGTGCTCCAAATTCAAATTTCTCACTCCAAATTCATCATTGGTCAGCGGTAACAATCTCAAATAAACTACAATACTTAATTTACACACCGTTAATAGAACTGATAATTTTCATATATTGTGCATGAAATATTTAAATGTTAAAAATTTTCCGCGCTTGCAAACTAGTGCGACATCGTACTATCACTTGCTTGTATTCCATGTGTAGATTTCGGTTTTCCGCGCTTGTAAAACTGCGACAACAAACTATCGCTTGCTTGTATTCCATGTGTAGATTTCGGCATGCACATGTCAAAAATAAGGGCAAAAAATGTTTAAAAATTAAAAAAGCCCATTATCATTTGTTGATAATGTTTCCCTAACTTTTATCTTTCATTTGAATGTCTGAATATGTTAATGAAAATGTTTCCAATGTTTTCTAAATTGACAATTGTTTCCTAACTTTATCAAAACAATGTCACAAGTTGTGTTATTGTAAATTACGCAAGTGACCTTGTCATAAAACTTTAAATTAAAAAAAAAGCCCACAAAAGCCCATTTTCTAACCTTTTCAGGTCGAAAGTATAATTAATTATAAATAATTTAAAGGGTTGAAGTTAACTTTTTTTCCACTCGGTGTGGCTGAAAAACTCGACTACAATTTGTCATTGCCTGCAAAATGTAAATATTTTTTATGATAAAATCGCTATGCATTCAAATAATTTCACAGTTTAAAAATGCTTTTCCAACTCCAGCGATGTAATTTGCAGTACTTATTAATTGCAAGAGTCTCAATTTTATAACAAGTTATTTTTTTTCCATTTTAAGAATAGATTTACCTTAACAAATCGTACTTTTTGATTGCCCTTTAAATATTTTTGTCTTTTGATTTTACTTCGCTTCATCTTTAAAAATCCCGCTTGATCCGCGCATTTCGCACGCTCGCATCAGTCTCCCGTGCAGCACACATGGATCAGGCAAATATTAGCGCGTTTCACCGCCCGTGTTTTACTACGCCCTGGTATTGCGCAATGTTTACATAAGATGGTGAAATAGCAAAAGCTTTCAGAGACTTTGCCCCTAGACCCCCAGGGCTACATTCATGCGTCACAAAAACTGAATCTTCTTTTCTAAAACGGGTGTCAGCAAAAGTGCTTGGATAAAGCCCTGCCGGTTGAGCTAAAATTACTCAGGTTAACTTAAATTAATTCAAGTGCGGATTTTAGCGATAGGTGGTTTGTCGAGTCCACTTGTATGCAGCGCTCCAAATTTTACCGACAATAACTGACTCGAACAGATTTAAGAATTGGCGATGCATTATGATCGATGGCTTTTCCGTGTTTATTTTATGTGTTGCATGAGCAATCGAAACAGTTGTGAGGAAATATTGAGAGGAAATTTGAAATATTTTTGAGTTTTGAATTAATTAAGTCATGTAATTTTTCGCGGCAAAGAGATGCAATTTCCTGCAAGCGCGACAAGACCAGTGAACTCCATATATATCTGGAGCGAGAACTCGAGTCCAGAAAGTGAAGCTAACTTGGCGAGGAATGTCGGCCGAAATTTCGTATTTTGACATCGATTTAAAGAATTTCACTATGGTTTTATGAACTGATAACTTGATTATCCGGTCCATGAGAAAAAACTGGAATTGGCTAGGGAAAATGGTATAAAAAGTGTTTCCGGACTTCAGAGCTACAGTGTCAACGCGAACGCATGCGTTATTTCTGAGCAGTACTGTATCGGACGTCAATGGCCGCCATTTTGACTTCACTTTCCTCACAGGCCGAATGACAGTGAAGTTCTTGCTCGAGATATATTGATGGAGCTCACTGGACAAGACTCGCTCATTCGTTTAATTCGCTCACTCGTTTTACTTGTTTTACTCGTTACAATACGTAACGAGTCAATTTGTTGCAATTAAGTCTATGGACAATGCAATGAGTTCTTTCAATGGGATAACAAATAATATCATTTATATTCATTGTTTCAAAATTCCATGAATCTGAAGCAATGAATGTCAACTACAGTGTGTCTCAAAAAAATGTCACTCCGACTAAAATACAAATATAATCATGCTTCGGTAAAATATTTTCAAAGTGATGTATTAGATAAATGAACTGTTGTGTTGATCAGCTTTCCTGTTAATTTCAGGAACTTTCACCAATGCAACACAAAATAAGAGCTGTTTTATTGTAACAGCCGTTTTTCTCAATTTCCCAAATTTATGTAAATTAATTTATCACAAAACGTGCAATTGCGTAAAATGTCAAAAGACTATCGTCCTTCGATGTGTGCGCCATTTCGTTCGATGCATAAGCGAGCACGAATTTCCATATTCAGCACGGCTCGGCGAACCATGTCCCGCGGCAGTGAATGCACTTCTGCAGTGATTCTGTTGCGGAGGTCCTCCAAATTCTGTGGAGGTGTTTGATACACGCGTGATTTGAGATACCCCCACAAAAAAAGTCACAAGGGGTAAGATCAGGAGACCTAGGAGGCCATTCTCTTGGTTGTCCAAAGGCAATGACTCTGTTCCTGTAGCCGGTGTCGTCTTGCAGAATGTCCAACATTTCTGTTTAGACTTGTCCCATGTGCTGAATACTTAGCAAAATTCCTTAAAATCGTCCTGGTGCATGGAGGCTGCCGGTCCGGAAACCTCTCTTCAAAACGCTCAATTACCCGCCCTGGACTTCTTATCTTCTTGTATACTCTAGCACCATAAATGTGTGTTGCTCGGTTGTGAATTGCACACCAACCATGTTGTGTTTAAATCAAGTAATTGGGCGATATTGAATATTTGACAGAGTTTAATCGAATGCATTCCTTTTAATACATTTGGGATTTCATAAAATTTTCGCACCAATTAGAAACATTTATTACATCGTCATTCATTGCAGAAAACACCTGAAATTAACAGGAGTGCTAGCCAACATTCTTCACTTTTAGTTTCATCAACAATTGCGATTGTATCTCTACTAACAACATTTTTATTTTCATTTTAGACAGAGTGACATTTTTTTTAGACGCACTGTATATATACTTATATTGATACTGCATCTTTTTTGGTTAAGGATTCCTCGGTTACTTCCACTGTTTGTTCCACAGCGTCATCCATCTGCATCATCTCAATGACACCTTCCATGCTTTCAGGTGTTGGTTTGTTGGCAGTTTCTGGCAACCATTTGAAGCATATCAGTCCAGTGACTATACACAGGACAAAGACAATAGAGTAAGGCAGCAAAGCGTGGATACGGATCTGTAAGAAAAGGGAAAAATTACAAAATTTAATATGCAGCTGTTCCTACAGTGACCGTTGAGTGAATGGAGCCCAGACATTTTGTGGTCAGATTTTTAAACCATATATACCATGCATGCAATTACCTTTTGTCGTTTTACTCGGCAAAAAAGTGGGGCATAGACCCCTGTCCCCTCCCAGACTTCGCGGTCCCTGCCTTAAGATAAGGGGCTTCGGTGGCTAATTGTAGGGGCTTCGGTGGCCAAGTGGTTAGTGCACTTGCCTTTCACCTCTGAGGCCGCAGGTTCAAGCCTCAGTGAGTACCTTCTCAATGCGATTCAAACCCAGTCCTCACGTGAAAAGAGTAAAAGTCAACGCTCTGCCGAAAGTCGTGGGTTTTCCCCGGGTACTCCGGTTTCCTCCCACAGGGAAAGTTGACAGGGTGGGTTAGGTAAAAGGGCCCACAGTAATTGGCATATGCTGTTGTGGTGACCCTGCCCTAGTTGGCAAAGCTAAATATATAAGATGGAGTGATATATAGCACGAACATGTCTTAACGTATAAAAGATAGCATCCCAGCTACATAGTGGCTTGACAACATCGAAAGAACTCATTGTTTGTCCGAAATTACAATATGCATGTTTGTAAATACGTACCAACCAAACAACATAAAGTGCTAAAAATGAACCAATTCTTGCACATGCTGATGATGTTCCCATTCCAATTGTGCTATTAACAAATAAATCAAAATAAAAACGGAATATGCACGGTACGAAGTGGAAAGAATTCAAAAAACTTGCAATGAGTCATCTCTTACCGCACTGAAGTAGGAAATAACTCAGAACTGAAGATATAAATGGTATTGAATGAAACAAGAATTGCATATTTGCACGCCATGGCCATTATTACCCGTCCAACTGTATAACCTTTAAGAATTAAGGGGAGAAAGGTGTTAAGTTACTGTTATATCGCAGTCTCACTACTGAACAGAAATATTTATCGTTATATTTGATTTGGGAAAACAAACAGCATTGATTGGAGAGATCGAGGAAGGGATGGGGGGGGGGGGAGAATAATGTGTGAAAGAAACTGTGCAGATCCGATATATGCTACAATATCTAAAATAATTACAGGTACTCCAGAAATTTTTAAAAGTGATTTTGCCTATAGATGAGTTAGTACAGTCAAACATTCGGAATTATGCTCCATAATCACCTGTATTGGATCTGTCACTTGGTATGGCCACTGAAATAATAGATGCTACTGCTGAGATGAACATACCACCAGCAACAGCCTTTCGTCGGCCAAATCTGTTGTGAAATAATAAAATAAAAAACAAATAATTAAATATAAAAAATAATATATATACTATAATACAATAATAAACATATCTGCATGCTTGGTGTTTTTCCACAAGTTAAATATCACACTAATTAATCATTATTGGATGAGGTCGAGCATAATATCGAAAATTATTAAGGTGGAGGTTGTGTTATCTTCCAAAGGCTGAGACAGATAACACAAACAGAGGCCTTGATAATTTTCGATATCACGCGAAATTGAACCAAATTCAATAATTATTTTATACGCGTATATAAGAAAAAACAAGATCGTTTTAATTTGGTAAAATAGTTTTACAAGTATACAAAAAGGGTCTTTTTCTCTTGAGGTTCGCTTATCTTTTTCTCTTCAAGATACTCGTTTAAAAGTCTTAATGCTGCCATAGTTTGTAGCTTGTTTAGTGTTTCCGCTTCTTTTTAGTTTTTGTACATGGCTTTCAGTTACCGAGGCAAATCTCGCGATGGCTATAAATTTTATGCACAATATAAAGAAGCTGGCTTTTGCGATTATTCTCTGTAGAACTGACGTCATATTTATATGTAGAAACCTATTATCTGCAAATGTGACGTCATATAATTACACAATATAAATAATTGTTTGTAGGCCAGCAACCAATCAAAATGGAGATTGTATATAGATAATACGTAAGAATAACTTCTTATTAACCAAACGCGAGGTCTTTTTTGTACAAACCGAGCCCGTAGGACGAAGTTTGTACAAAAAGACCAAGGTCCTATATTTCTCTGTACATACCGAGCAAGCGAGGTTAATAAAAAGTTTATTATATGGCATTTATACTTGAAACAAACAAGAAATGCATGATTTGAAATGCATATTAGTAGCGTGGTACATATTTAGTCGAAGAAAACAAAAAATATTAATGTATTCCTTCTTTTCCACTAAAAATCATTCGCAGATATCTTATTAATAACAAATTAAATTATAATTTTCAAATTTTCAATTAGTTTTGCTATTTTGTTTTAAAATGCATGCGTTTGTCTTTACGTAATGGATCGTCGGTCCATTACGGGAAGATAATGGACCGCAGAAAGTGCTTCTCAACCAATCACAGTCCGCCATTTCACCGGAAGTGAGGCTTGCCATATGATAATGTAACTTATTGGATTCTTCTGAGCCCAACATGGCAAAATATCAATTAATCAAGACTTCAATATTATAGGGGTTCAGATTTAACTTCCACTACCGCTACCATTAAGGGACAATCAACCAATCAGATATGTTTAATATATTCAATTATAACCAATCAGATGCGTACTAAGCCAGTTGGAGGTAGTGGTAGCGGCAGTGGAAGTCAAATCTGAACCTCTATAATATTGAAGTCGAGACTTAATATTTTGCCATATTGGGCGAAGATTAATCCAATAGGTGTTTTATTAAATCAAACAAAACAATTTCATAACAAAAAATTGTCTTTGTAAGTGATATAATATAGCGACAACGCATTTTTATCATTAGACATTACACATCAGCGGCGAATTTGTTTACATAACTGAACAAAAAAGTTAATAACCTATTTTTTAAAACCAGATTATGAGTTATGGATAAAAAACTCTAAATAATAAAAATACCATGCGATTTGACCTGGTGATTTGACCTAATTTTAACGACCTAATATTATTAACCTCACGACTGTTGTAAACAAATTAATTTCTCGAAGACACGTTTTCCTGCGCTTTTATAATTTTAAACAAAACTGGAAGAAAAACGGTCGTAATGGTTTAAATTCTTGTCATTCTTGTCAAATACCAATGTATTCATTCTTTTCCACTAAAAACCATTCGCAGATATCTTATTAATAACAAATTAAATTATAATTTTCGGATTACAGGGAAATAATGGCCGCTGAAAGTGCTTCTCAGCCAATCACAGTCCGCCATTTCAGCGGAAGTGTTACTTGCCATATAACTAGAAAATACATGCATGCAGCAACCCCTCGCCTTTCTTAACAGATGAAGTATAAAAACTACACATAAAGTATTAAGACCATTATAAACAAACATAAAAACACAACTGATGCGCTAGCTTTACAATGAACGATAACATTCACTGGAATCACTGCAATTTCATGCATACCAGCTTGCATTAAAGTGAATTATCGAGTTAAGAATGGCTTAAAAATTTCGCAGATATGAATAAAACCGACAACACAAAGCAAGTATGGCACAGTGTAATTCTACTACTGAAATGTTTTAAACACTTACCCAAACCGGCACAACAACGATTAAATTATCAAAGACATCAACATCAAAACAATTATTATACAAACTTTGTTTCACGGTTGAACAGCCACCAATTCATGAAACTGCAGGCTTATTTCCAGTTAAAATCGAGAAAAAAAATCGTGTTGTACTTTTGTAAACTTTTTAACGAAATTTAAAACAAAAAATTGCTGTAAAACAGCAAAATGCGTCCTTTCAAAATGAAAAACAATTACTTTGACAGAGTTTGTACTCGCGCATGCGCATAACGCCGAAAACCGTCCATGACATAAACAAAATGGAGGACAACTTTGCACTCCGCTATGTTTTCACATACCCGGGTATAATTAGCCGTGCGGAATTAGTACCCTCGCACGGCGCTTCGCGCCGCCGGCTCGGGGATAATCCGTCATATTGTTGTGTGTTTGAAATTAATAAAACATCTGAAAAGATTGATAAACCTGGAAGAAGCCACGATAAGCTACTGTCCAATATTCCCTGTCCTACATCGTAAAATATCAGGCGGCACGTGACCCTATCGAAGACTCATTATTGGTCAATCGCATGTGAGCGTATAATAGTGCGTTACTGTAAACCTCCGACTATAAGCCCTGGGCTTATATACTTTCGTAAGCGATTTTTGATGGGCTTATACAAGGGTGGGCTTATATACGGGGGGGGGGGCTTATACATGGACGATCTTTTGTGTTAGTAATAAACAAGTCAGACATAAACAAGTCAGTCATAAACAGGAAAATAAACATGTATTAAGCGATTACTGGGCTTATATTTAATTCGGGGGACTTATATTCGGGGGACTTATATTCGGGTGGGCGTATATTCGGGGGGGGGCTTATATTTGGAATGAGGTGAGCGTTAGCACATGTGGTGGGCTTATACACGGGGGGGGCTTATAGTCGGAGGTTTACGGTATTACGTATATATACTTACTTATTCATGCAGATAGTCGCTGTTAAAGTTGAAGGAACAGTTGCAAGGCTGACAAGGAAAAAGTTCAAATATACATTTCCTCCGAGATAGATGGCTCCATAGCTAACAGCGTAGTAAACAAGTGCACAGCTAAACCTGTTGAGAAATTGTATACTTGAACTATAAATTCAAAATATTCAAAATTAAACGATTCCAAAACGGCAGTGTGATTATTTATATCTGCATGTAAGCCTAGGAATCCTGCATGCATATTTGCCAGGTTGTTTGGGAGCTACATGCAGATTGGCCAGATTGAAGTTATATATGGTTTCAATACTTGAGGCCTACAATCTATATATTATGTTTGCGATGTTACTCTGAGTGCATATCCACACCGGGCGAGCTTGAAAAATATGCCCGGACACGGTGGGATTCGAACCTACGACCTTTGGAATACTAGCCCAATGCTCTTCCAACTGAGCTACGCGGTCAGGACGGTTCGAGTAACATCGCAAACATATTATTCACCTGAGTACACAACACCAACACAGAAAAATCTATATATTATTTATATATAATATTTTTGTATTCAACTTTGGTGCTTGGTCCTCATTGGTCAGCATTGTCGGGCATACTGAAATTAGAACAATGTTATATCCATGCACCTATATACAGCCAATTCAAAAAAGGTTGTCCTTTGCAAACGTTATAAACTCTAAACCTTATTAAACCTTAAATTCTAAGCGCGCAAAGCTTAATGGGAGCACAAATTTCAAGCTTAGTAGTTGAATATTGCAGCTATTTGTGCAGAATGAATTGTTCTCGTAAGGAGATATTTACCATGTCTCCAAGAAATGGGCCCCATATAGGATTTCTAAACTGATTAAATGATGCTCCCATTATGCTTTGCACGCTTATAGAGTTTGAGGTTTAAGGTTTAGAGTTTAAGGTTTGCAAAGGACAATCTTTTTTGAATTAGCGGTATATATACTCGTTTGGTTTCTTATTAGTGTTCTCAACGTACCATGGTCTATTACAAAATTCAGCAATTTGATTGGGCATCAGTACTCAACCATGGACCATTACGTAACGGTCCACGGTCGAGAATAAAGATGGCAGAAAACGTTAAAATTGTTTTGCAAAAGGTTTCGAATAGTCAAATAGTCATGCAACTGACGCATCAACGTCGTTAACTGCATGTATTCGCTCACGGACAACTCTGCCTCGTTGTCTGAGGCTCCGTCGGTTTTCGTGGTTTCCACATTGTCTTCCCGTTTAGACGGTACCGGATCAATCTTATCATGCTTACATTGAGATTCAGTATTTGTTCGGGGTAGATTTTCGGAAGTAATCGCATCTTCTTTACACTGGGAAAAAATGTGAAATCCATACTATGAAATTTGCAATTGCACTACTAAATCCATAGTATATCCATACTATTTCGATACTATATCCATATATAGTATGGAAATATACCGTACAATTATTATGGATCATCAAAATCCATTCTATTTCCAATAAAGGTCCATACAATTTCCATTCTATGACCTTCTATGGATTTTCAAAAATTTTTCCAGTGTTACGTACATATTTAAATATTTCATGGAATATTCGGGGACTGAAAATAGTTGATAAAATTTTTTTAGAATTGTATGACTATATTAACTATACGTTAACCACCGCCACAGTAGCAATACTGGAAAAAGGTATGTCGATATAGAAAGTATTCTTGGATTACAACAATTAGTTCCCTTCAAATGTTTGGGTAAAATTGTGTAAATCTATAATATTCACATCAAAATTACACTGTGCGACAATTCCTGTAATCCGTACAAACTTTTGTTCGGTTTCACGTACCGGTACCGGATACATTTTTGTCCGGCACAATTTACACCTACAGTACGCTTTCGTAAGTGGACCAAAACTTGTCCATGCAGATATTAAGTATCCTGACATGCAGATCCCGTGTAAACGCAAACCGCGTATCCCGGTATATTCCATGTAAACGGGGCCTAATTGTTAAACACATCATGTGTTATTCAATAATTTTTTATTATAACCAAGTTCTCGACATCGACTTACCAGGAAATCCAGCTAGCAAAAGTAACCATGCCAACATTCTTGTCGTAAAACAAATCTCTCACGTCAGATTTTTCTGACACAATTTCATTTGGGACTTCCAATTCAACCATCGGCATTGACTTGCCATTCCATCGAGCCACTGTTTCTAACTGTTTCATCGCTTCGTCGTGACGTTTATTCACGAGAAGATAGCGACAGGATTCGGGAAGAAACCTGAAACGAAAGACCATTATAATAAAATTATATTTACTTCCTGTATCATGCAGTTGGTGATATTTTGCGACTTCCTGGCATCAATATCATTCATTTGGCTCCGTGGACGGGTAGCATTTTACGATATTTTGACCGTGGTCCAAATATTTGTTAACAAATACTACGTGGAGTGAAAATAGTTTCAAAATAGTGTAACCAACTTCCAAGGGCCTTCACTCAAAACGTCGAAGTTTTACTTGTATATATTTTTCAGGTAGTTCGGTCCCTCTCATTCCGCAGCGATCAATCGTTCATCTTAGATGTTGACCTCAACCGCCTTCTACTGTAAAATGTTCGTATTTACTATAACTGTATAATTCAATATCTGATATTTAAAATACTCATTAATAATTCATGAAGAAAATACAAAAGAAATGAATGTTTAATCAATGTTCGTTTGTAAATCGGATAAAGATTTGTCCTCATTAACATGAACTTCAGCTATATGATTTTCTCGGCTTAGATAATGTATATTTTTAAAATTACTTTGCCAATGAATTCGTAAGATGGTGGTATTTTAAGCACGTTAAAACATTCGCATCCGAATCATCCGATCTTTATCTGATATACAAACTCGAGCCGAAATATCTGATATTTAACTGGTACATAATATATTGTTATATAGCTAGGGTGAACACCAAACGTGATTGGCTGGTTTGTGGTCACGTGACTTCAGATAAATGCAATGTATCCCGCCGGGCAACAAGTGAAAAATTGTTGCCCGCCCCGACCGGCTACGTACATAAATAAACAAAATGGCGGCACAACTAGCATAAATAGAAACTACGATTTTCCAAGTTTGTGTTCAAATAAAGAATGCAAATGAGAAGAAAAATACACAACAGGCAACAGGATATACTGAATGCTGAAACCATTTAAGAGTAGGGAAAACAAAACAAACTGTTTAAGTCGGGGAAAACCGTTTAAGTCGGGAAAACAAAACAAACTGTTTCCCTCGGGAGCAGACACTAAGCGTATAATGTATAATATGATGAGAATCCAATATCTGACATAATTATATACAGCTATTTCAATTAAGGTTGTCCACGAGCAAAGCGGAAAAGTCGAATACGAGCGCGAAAGGCTGCTGGGAATCGCTTTGAAAATTCATCAATTTTTTAACGATTCCCAGCAGCCTTTCGCGCTCGTATTCGACTTTTCCGCTTTGCTCATGGACAACCTTAATTGAAATAGCTGTATATACTTTACGCATTTAGAAGATTATATACATTGGCGAGGGAAAGGGCATTACTACTTGCCATGTAACGGGCGTAAATAATTTGTAATTACCGGAATCAAGTGCCGTTGTTTGAATCTCAACTATACCAAGAGCGGAAACAATTATATACCCACGTGCAGCGTACACGCTGGACCTCCAACGTATTAGCTAGATACTGACCGCAAAAGACAAATACTTAAAATTGTGCTCGTACCATGACGATATTACCACAGGGATAGAAACACACGCGCCATACAACATCAAGTATCGCCACTCACGGATCAAATAAGCCAATAATGATAGAAACATGAAACATACAGAACCATAATACCAAATATTTGATCCTGCCCATGATCGATGCTTCACTCCACTGTATTCAACAAGGAGAACAAAACTTGTCATTGATGCTCCAGCTAAAATGTATAATGGGTGATCGAAAATTGTTTTAAGGGCCGGTTTTCGAAAAAATTATTACATGAATGATTACAAATGTCTTCAGTTTCTCTCCGTACAGTGTAGGTTTTTTAAAAAATAGTCCTTGCTGGAATTGTCTCATGGCTTATAGCTTATACCAAGGCTAGTAAGTGTAAAACCTGCATTTGCAATATGGTTTCATCCCCAGTTTTGTGGCGCTGTGTATGATCATGGTACCCTGGTTCCAGAGGCTCTTAAAGAACGCCGAGGCAAAATAACGGCGAGGCGAAATAAATACGAGGCGAAAGAGCCTCTGGTCAAATCGATTGCAAATCTCACTTCCATATTATCTTAACCTCGCTTGTGATTGGCTGTTTGTAAAAACATGTCAAACCGGTTTGGAAAATCCCAGTCCCCATGTAAAATCATTGCTACATTTAGCAGGCTGATAATTAGTTCAATGTTTATTTATTTTCCAAACTGGTTTAACATGTTTTTGCAAACAGCCAATCACATGCGAGGTTAAGATTCTGAACCTAATCAAATAATTATGGAAGTACGAGGCTCTTCTGCCTCGTATTTATTTCGCCTCGCCGTTATTTTGCCTCGCCGTTCTTTAAGGGCCTCTGGAACCAAGGTATGATTAGGCCGTTGTTTTATTCAAAATCTTATTTTTTGGTTAATTAATCTGTGTGAAAGAGTGTTAGTAAATGATGGAAACAAATATGCATTGCTATAGTATGGTTTTCAGAACAGCAAATCTCAAGCCACGAAGATAATATAATGGTTGTTCGCCGAAATAGATGGGGGGGGGGGGATTGTGGATTTAGCTTGCAATTTAGTTCGGATCCTGGATTGCGACTTCATAGTAGAGCTTTTAGCGGATTCAAATTTAGACAAAACCATTGTCGGATCGCGGATTTTGCTTCAAATTTGGGCGGATCGGCGGATTTGTACACCCCTATTCACCCCC